TGCTGGCTTGGTTGTGATGTACTCCTATAGCCCTCCCCCCCACTTTTTTTTTGTCCGGGAAGCTCTTAATTTCACTATTTTGAATGATAGCCTTGCTGGATATGGTAATCTTGGTCTCAGATCCTTGCTTTCCATTACCTTGAGTACTTCATGCCATTCTCTTATGGCCTGTAGAGTTTCTGATGAGAAATCAGGTATCAGCCTTATTGGAGCTCCTTTGTAGGTAACAGTTTGCTTTTCTCTTGATGCCTTTAAGATTCTTTGTCTTTAATTTTTGGCATTTTAATTATGATATGTGTGGGTGTGGGCCTGCTTAGGTTCTTCTTACTTGGAACTCTCTGACTCCTGAATCTGTGTGATAGCAAATGTCTGCATGAGAAAGATGACCTCTGCAGCATGAGAGAATGACTCAACACAGGATACTGGGGTGTCTGCTTTCTGAGCTCTAACCTTTGAGCACCCCATTCTGGCTTCTTCTCACACATCTTCAGTCCACTCTGCCCTCCTTCTGCTGGAGCACAAGGTGAGTGGCTGCACAGGGAATTTTGTGTGTTGGCCCTTTAAGAGGGTTCCTGCATTTCCAGCTCTCTCTCCCTGGTGGACAGTAAACCTCACTGCTCTTCACAGCCAAATGTGGGTATCCTTCTCGGTTCTGGTGCCTCTGCTGGAGGCCCTGGCTTGGGGATTAGACCCCAGATTTCTCAGTGGGAACCCCCCACAGTTGAGATATCTCTCTGGAATTTCAGTTCTGTCTGTGGAACCCAGCCATCCCTTTCACACCTCCACCCCTCCTACCAGTCTCTATGCTGTCTCCACTTTGTTTTCGGTTATCAGGTTCTTTCTAGCAAGTCTTCCATTGATTATTCAGAAACTTTTTCTGTATTTTGGTTGTAATTGCAGTTTGGCCCTGGGAGCATGTCTTGAAGCACATAACTCTACCCCTATTTTTAAACCCTCTCTCTCCTAGAGTTTTGCATTCAGTCTTGTCCACACTGAGCCTCTAGCATTTATCAGTTCTGGTTCAGGGTTTCCTGCCTCAGCACTGGTTCCCCAGGACGTTTCTGCTCATGGATTTCTCTCTGGTAAGTTGTGATTTTATAGATTCACTTCTGTCTCTCTAGTTTTGGAGGTTTGCCCTATGGCAGCTGTGGGCAAACTACGGCCCGCGGACCGGATCCGGCCCGTTTGAAATGAATAAAACTATAAAAAAAAAAGACCGTGCCCTTTTATGTAATGATGTTTACTTTGAATTTATATTAGTTCACACAAACACTCCATCCATGCTTTTGTTCCGGCCCTCCC